ATGTCCGCGTGTTGTAGTGTGCCCCTGGCTATCCGTACATTTAAAAAACAAGAAAATTATGCCGTCTGGTTTGCTTAATATAAGCAATTTGAAATGATTTATACTATATTAAATATATTTTTGCAATTAAATTTACTTTTGAAACTTAAGTATATTTAAAACCAAATACTTTTAGACTTTTACTCAAGTAGTATTTTACTGGATGACTTTCAATTTTACTTGAGTCATTTTCTATTAAGGTATCTTTACTTTCACTCAAGTATGACAATTGGGTACTTTTTCCACCACTGCTTTTACTGAGGAGAGGCTTCCATCTGGCCACTCTACCATAAAGGCCTGATTGGTGGAGTGCTGCAGAGAGGGTTGTCCTTCTGGAAGGTTCTCCCATCTCCACAGAGGAACTCTGCAGCTCTGTCAGAGTGACCATCGGGTTCTTGGTCACCTCCCTGACCAAGGCCCTTCTCCCCCGATTGCTTAGTTTGGCGGGCGGCCAGCTCTAGGAAGAGTCTTGGTGGTTCCAAACGTCTTCCATTTGAGAATGATGGAGGCCACTGTGTTCTTGGGGACTTTCAATGCTGCAGAAATGTTTTGGTACCGTTCCCCAGATCTGTGCCTCGACACAATCCTGTCTTGGAGCTCTACGGATAATTCCTTCGACCTCATGGCTTGGCTTTTGCACTGACATGCACTGTCAGACAGGTGTGTGCCTTTCCAAATAATGTCCAATCAATTGAATTTACAGCCGGTGGACTCCAATCAAATTGTAGAAACATCTCAAGGATGATCAATGGAAACAGGATGCACCTGAGCTCAATTTCGAGTCTCATAGCAGGGTATGAATACTTATGTAAATAAGGTATTTCTGTTTTTTATTTGTAATACATTTGCACACACAAAAAAAAACTGTTTTCACTTTGTCATTATGTGGTATTGTGTGTAGATTGATGAGGAAAACAATGTATTTAATCCATTTTAGAATAAGGTAACGTAACAAAATGTGGAAAAGTCAAGGGGTCTGAATACCTTCCGAATGCACTGTATATATGAAAAATATAATGTTTTTTTGAATGAATGATTTTAGAGGATGTCTTCATTGATCACACCTTTGACTACACATTGGATAGATATTATGGAAATTATAGATTTCACATGGTCCACAAAATAAGTTATTGTGGTCAGTCTCAGTAGTTTTCTTTATTGGGACAGGATGCTACCAGGATTTGTTTCATGCATTATACAGCATGATGGACAAGAATACTTTCAATCGGTGGTTATCTCTTGGTAGTGCTAGGCAGTCATGGCCAATAGATCATTATTAGGGCCAGGGGATATTCCTTATGTGACCTGACCAAGGACAACTCTGGGTTGTAATTGTAGGCTATGACTATAGTCAGGACCCAGAGTTTCTCCTACTGGTCCTTCCTAGTGGTCTTTCCACATGGTCAAGAAAACTCCCTGCCCTAATCATAATGTACTGTACTTTCCTCCCTGATAGAGAATGGCAGATGGAGAGGGCTTTCCAGACAGCACTGGGGATCCTACAGCCAGAGGTGGTCTTCATTCCTCCCTGATAGAGAATGGCAGATGGAGAGGGCTTTCCAGACAGCACTGGGGCTCCTACAGCCAGAGGTAGTCTTCATTCCTCCCTGATAGAGAATGGCAGATGGAGAGGGCTTTCCAGACAGCACTGGGGATCCTACAGCCAGAGGTGGTCTTCATTCCTCCCTGATAGAGATTGGCAGATGGAGAGGGCTTTCCAGACAGCACTGGGGCTCCTACAGCCAGAGGTAGTCTTCATTCCTCCCTGATAGAGAATGGCAGATGGAGAGGGCTTTCCAGACAGCACTGGGGCTCCTACAGCCAGATGTGGTCTTCATTCCTCCCTGATAGAGAATGGCAGATGGAGAGGGCTTTCCAGACAGCACTGGGGCTCCTACAGCCAGAGGTGGTCTTCATTTTGGGAGACATCTTTGATGAGGGGAAAAGGAGCTCCCCAAAGGTTTGTTGATAGACACCACTGGTTATTAGACCACACACAGCACCAACAGCTGGACTACTCAGGATAATATGTGATAATGTCTGTTAGCACATAAGGGGATCTGTGTGTATGTATGTGTGTGTGGTCTAATAACCGACAGTGTCCATCATTTATTCTAATTCCTAATTCTATGGTATTATCTCCCACTCTTGACATAATGGTATGAAGTAACCCCAATCCAACTGATGGAGGAAGTAATTAACAGTAGTGGCCCAAAGGGTTTGGGGTGGGAGGTGATGGAGACATCCTACTGTGCATAGTGCTGAGAGGGGTTAAGGCAGAAGTTGATACCCCAGCTCAAACTTCTCTGTAACACTTTACTTGACACCCAGTGTCATAACACGCTATGACACAGTCATAACCATGTCATAATATGTCATAACAGGTGATATAACTTCTCATAACCTGTCATAATATGATCATAACACTTTCATGACCCATATATTTATACCTGTTGTGACATATATTTATATTGCGTTATTTTATGGCTGGTTATGACACATACATAAAAGTGTCAAAACCCACATTTATTCAACGACAAAAAAAAATCCTGCCAAGAAGAAGTTTCCTTTCATTTGAAAGTTTGTTTCTTAAATCCTTTGTTGTTGTAATGAATTCTTTACAGTCATCTTTTATTAATCATATTTGAAATAACATGTAGAAAATACACTTTATGACACTGTCATGAAGCATTATGACCATCTTGTGTCACTTTACTTGGACTAAGAAAATACACTTTATGACACTGTCAAGAAGCATTATGACCATCATAAGCCAGATAGGCCTATCATGTACATGCCCTTATGTCAGTCATCAGTCAAAAAGAGGGTGTCTTGTCCTGCTCCTGAAATCTGCTCCTGCATTCATCAGCAACAGAGCATTGAGTTGGTGCATGTCTGATATCAATGTGTGCGCAATTACAATGATAATTTAATATGGTCAATTTAAAAAATATATACACTACCGGTCAAAAGTTTTAGAACACCTTCTCATTCAAGGGTTTTTCATAATTTTTACTATTTTCTACATTGTAACTACATCAAAACTATGAAATAACACATATGGAATCATGTAGTAACCAAAGAAGTGTTAAACAAATCGCAATATATTTTATATTTGAGATTCTTCAAATAGCCACACTTTGCCTTGATGACAGCTTTGCACACTCTTGGCATTCTCTCAACCAGCTTCATGAGGTAGTCACCTGGAATGCATTTCAATTAACAGGTGTTAATTGTGGAATTTATTTCCTTCTTAATATGTTTGAGCCAATCAGTTGTGTTGTGACAAGGTAGGGGGGGGGGGCGGGGTATACAGAAGATACCCCTATTTGGTAAAAGACAATGTCCATATTATGGCAAGAAAAGCTCAAATAAGCAAAGAGAAACGACAGTCCATCATTACTTTAAGACATGAAGGTCAGTCAATACGGAACATTTCAAGAACTTTTAAAGTTTCTTCAAGTGCAGTAGAAAAACCATCAAGCGCTATGATGAAACTGGCTCTCATGAGGACCGCCACAGGAATGGAAGACCCAGAGTTACCTCTGCTGCAGAGGATAAGTTCGTTAGAGTTACCAGCCTCAGATTGCAGCCCAAATAAATGCTTCACAGAGTTCAAGTCACAGACACAGCTCAACATCAACTATTCAGAGGACACTATATGAATCAGGCCTTCATGGTCGAATTGCTGCAAAGAAACCACTACTAAAGGACACCAATAAGAAGAAGAGACCTGCTTGGGCCAAGAAACACGAGCAATGGTCAGTAGACTAGTGGAAATTTGTCCTTTGGTCTGGAGTCCAAATTGGAGATTTTTGGTTCCAACCGCTGTGTCTTTGTGAGACACGGTGTGGGTGAACGGATGATCTCCGCATGTGTATTTCCCACCGTAAAGCATGGAGGAGGAGGTGTTATGGTGTGGGGGTGCTTTGCTGGTGACACTGTCTGTGATTTATTTACACTTAACCAGCATGGCTTCCACAGCATTCTGCAGCGATACGCCATCCCATCTGGTTTGGGCTTAGTGGGACTATCATTTGTTTTTCAACAGGACAATGACCCAACACACCTCCAGGTTGTGTAAGGGCTATTTTACCAAGAAGGAGAGTGATGGAGTGCTTCATCAGATGACCTGGCCTCCACAATCCCCTGACCTCAACCAAATTGAGATGGTTTGGGATGATTCGGACCGCAGTGAAGGAAAAGCAGCCAACAAGTGCTCAGCATATGTGGGAACTTCTTCAAGACTGTTGGAAAAGCATTACAGGTTAAGCTGGTTGAGGGAATGCCAAGAGTGTGCAATGCTGTCAAGGCAAAGGGTGGCTATTTTGAAGAATCTCAAATATAAAATGTATTTTGATTTAACACTTTTTTGGTTACTACATGATTCCATATGTGTTATTTCATAGTTTTGATGTCTTCACTATTATTCTACAATGTAGAAAATAAAATAAAAAACCTTGAATGAGTAGGTGTTCTAAAACTTTTGACCGGTAGTGTATATAACATAAACATACTGTTGACAAGTAGGCTATGGTGTAATGGAATATTTTGCCTTGTGTGGTAGGTTTTGTAGGTTTTGATACTTTTATGTAGGTGTCATAACCAGCCATAAATCAAATCAAATTGTATTGGTCGCATACACATATTTAGCAGATGTTATTGCGGGTGTAGCGAAATGCTTGTCAAATAACACAATATACAGTATGTCACAACAGGTCTAAATACATGTGTCATGACAGTGTTATGACCATATTATAATGGGTTATGACAAGTTATGCCAGCCGTTATAACATATTATGACATGGTTAGGACCATGTCATAAAGTGTTATGACGCTGGGTGTCATGTAAAGTGTTACCAACTTCTCCTCTGTGACCATCTGAATATGCACCTTGTGTTCTTCAGGACTGGGAGGATGATGTGCAGCGCTTTAAGCAGATCTTCTGACACCCCAGTGATATGGAGCTAATAGCAATCATTGGGAACCACGACATCGGCTTCCATCATGAGTATGTTAAGTTCAGAAGTCTCACTGTTAAATGGAGGCTACCAAGTGATGCTCACTTGGTAGCCTTGGTAACACTTGGTAACATCCTTTCTTTTTGAACAGGATGAACTGGTACAAACTTGAACGCTTCAAGAGGGTGTTCAATGTCACTTCTGCCCGGATCGTAACCAAAAACGGAGTCAGGTAGGTCACACTACTGGAAACAGCAACATCTAACCTTGTCTAAAAACTCTGCATGTCAACAGTTTAGCAATGTGTGGTTTGTGGTTAGTCACGTTGATGTGTTCCTTAGCTTACATTATTGCACCATCATTAATGTAAATGTTGTATGTGTGTATGTGTGTGTGTGTGCGTTTCCCCATTTAGCTTTGTGCTGGTGAACAGTATGGCCATGCATGGAGACCGTTGCCCCATCTGCGAGCATGTGGAGAACAAGCTGTACAGCCTCTCTCAGGCTATCAACTGCTCTGTGCAGGTGATCTTCATCACAATCATCATCCTCATCAATGCCACACACACACAAACAACACACAGCACACAACAAACACTCACACACAATACACAACACACACACACACACACACACACACACAGAGACCGCTGCCCCATCTCTGAGCCCGATAATGGGGGTTATCGGGCATTTGAGAGAAGCAGAGATTTGAGCGTTGACTAAATAAAGCTGTTTCTCTCCCGGATGCAATCAAGTCCCAGAGCCACCATATGGCTTTTGCGTGTTACTCAGTGCCAAACAGATTTGTGGGTAAAAAAATGTTGGTTAATCCCAGACTTTAGTTACGAATGTCCCAAAATTTTTTGGCCCTAAAAGTCTTTTGAAACTTGGTCATTATTATGTTGTCACAAAAGATAAAAGCTTTTCCTTACACATTGTCAACATACTGTTACTTCCAATGTCAAAGTAGATTGTAATGATATTGTGGATTTCACAGAGCCATCGGTCAAGCAGCATAAGAATGTACTGTCAGGAGGATATGCAGAAGTTTCCCCGCTCATCGCCTGTCATTTTACAGGTACGACTTGATGTGTGTGTGTGTGTGCGTGCGTATCAAATAAAATCAATACAATTAAATGTTATTCGTCACATGCTTCGTAAACAACAGGTGTGGACTAACAGGGAAATGCTTACGGGCCCTTCCCAACAATGCAGAGAAAGAAAATAGAGAAATAATAGAAAAGTAAAACACATAATAATGAAAGTCATAATAGATACAGAATGAGTAACGATAACTTGGCTATATACAAGGGGTACCAGTACCGAGTCCATGTGTCACGACTTCCGCCGAGGCTGCCTCCCCTCCTTGTTCGGGCAGGCTTCGGAGTTCGTCGTCACCGGCTTACTAACCACTGCCGCCCCAATTATCATCACATTTGTCTTGTCTTGTCAATCACACACACCTGGTTATAATCCCCTCATTAGTCCGTATATAAGTGTTCCCTCTGCCCCCTTGTCCTTGTGGGTGATTGTTTGTATGTGAGAGTAGTGTAGCTCGGTGGAGCTACTCGTACCATTTTGTTGCCAGGGTAGATATTTCCCCTGTGCCTATGTATTGTTGGAGATACCGTTACAGTGTATTGCCAGGGTAGATAGTTTCCCCTGTGCCTGTTTTGTTTGTCGCTATTCCAGCGTATTTTGTGTAACGAAGGAATAAACTCTGTATTCTGTGATTACCCTCCTGCGCCTGACTCCTTCCATCACACTCATCACACCATGTTCAGGGGTACGAGGCAATTGAGGTAGATATGTACAGTATTTGATCCCATGCTGATTTTGTACCTTTGCCCACTGACAAAGAAATGATCAGTCTATAATTTTAATGGTAGGTGTATTTGAACAGTGAGAGACAGAATAAAAACAAAAAAATCCAGAAAAACTTATGTCAAAAATGTTATAAATTGATTTGCATTTTAATGAGGGAAATAAGTATTTGACCCCCTCTCAATCAGAAAGATTTCTGGCTTCCAGGTGTCTTTTATACAGGTAACGAGCTGAGATTAGGAGCACACTCTTAAAGGGAGTGCTCCTAATCTCAGCTTGTTACCTGTATAAAAGACACCTGTCCACAGAAGCGATCAATCAATCAGATTCCAAACACTCCACCATGGCCAAGACCAAAGAGCTCTCCAAGGATGTCAGGGACAAGATTGTAGACCTACACAAGGCTGGAATGGGCTATAAGACCATCGCCTAGCAGCTTGGTGAGAAGGTGACAACAGTTGGTGCGTTTATTCGCAAATGGAAGAAACACAACATAACTGTCAATCTCCCTCGGCCTGGGGCTCCATGCAAGATCTCACCTCGTGGAGTTGCAATGATCATGAGAACGGTGAGGAATCAGCCCAGAACTACACGGGAGGATCTTGTCAATGATCTCAAGGCAGCTGGGACCATAGTCACCAAGAAAACAATTGGTAACACACTAAGCCATGAAGGACTGAAATCCTGCTGCGCCCGCAAGGTCCCCCTGCTCAAGAAAGCACATATACATGCCCATCTGAAGTTTGCCAATGAACATCTGAATGATTCAGAGGAGAACTGGGTGAAAGTGTTGTGGTCAGATGAGACCAAAATCGAGCTCTTTGGCATCAACTCAACTCGCCGTGTTTGGAGGAGGAGGAATGCTGCCTATGACCTCAAGAACACCATCCCCACCGTCAAACATGGAGGTGGAAACATTATGCTTTGGGGGTTTTTCTGCTAAGGGGACAGGACAACTTCACCGCATCAAAGGGACGATGGACGGGGCCATGTACCGTCAAATCTTGGGTGAGAACCTCCTTCCCTCAGCCAGGGCATTGAAAATGGGTCGTGGATGGGTATTCCAGCATGACAATGACCCAAAACACACGGCCAAGGCAACAAAGGAGTGGCTCAAGAAGAAGCACATTAAGGTCCTGGAGTGGCCTAGCCAATCTCCAGACCTTAATTCCATAGAAAATCTGTGGAGGGAGCTGAAGGTTCGAGTTGCCAAACGTCAGCCTCGAAACCTTAATGACTTGGAGAAGATCTGCAAAGAGGAGTGGGACAAAATCCCTCTTGAGATGTGTGCAAACCTGGTGGCCAACTACAAGAAACGTCTGACCTCTGTGATTGCCAACAAGGGTTTTTCCACCAAGTACTTAGTCATGTTTTGCAGAGGGGTCAAATACTTATTTCCCTCATTAAAATGCAAATCAATTTATAACATTTTTGACATGCGTTTTTCTGGATTTTTTTGTTGTTATTCTGTCTCTAACTGTTCAAATAAACCTACCATTAAAATTATAGACTGATCATTTCTTTGTCAGTGGGCAAACGTACAAAATCAGCAGGGGATCAAATACTTTTTTCCCTCACTGTACATTTAACTAGGAATATGTGACAGATAATAAACAGTAGCAGCGTATGTGATGAGTCAAAAAAGTTTGTGTAAAAAGGGTCAATGCAGATAGTCCGGGTAACTATTTAACTAACTATTTAGCAGTCTTATGGCTTGGGGGTAGAAGCTGTTCAGGTTCCTCTTGGTTCCAGACTTGGTGCATCGGTAACACTTGCTGTGCGATAGCAGAGAGAACAGTCTTTGACAGGTGGCTGGAATCTTTGAACATTTTTAGGGCCTTCCTCTGACACCGCCTGGTATAGAGGTCCTGGATGGCAGAGAGCTTGGCCCCAGTGATGTACTGGTCCATACGCACAACCCACTGTAGCGCCTTGCGGTCGGATGCCAAGCTGTTGCCATATCAAGCGGTGATGCTCTCAACGTTGCAGCTGTATAACATATTGAGGATCTAAGGGCCCATCCATGCCAAATCTTTTCAGCCTCCTGACGAGGAAAAGGCGTTGTCGTGCTCTCTTTACAACTGTGTTGGTGATATATTCTTAGTGATGTGGACACAGAGGAACTGGTGTTGCAAGCGCCACACTCTACCAACTGAGCTACACGGGACTGAGCTACACTGGACTGAGCTACACGGGACTGAGCTACACGGGACTGAGCTACACTGGACTGTGCTACACGGGACTGAGCTACACGGGACTGAGCTACACGGGACTGAGCTACACTGGACTGAGCTACACGGGACTAAGCTACACTGGACTGAGCTACACTGTACTGATTTACATGGGACTGAGCTACAATGGACTTACTATAGGTCATTGCAGTGTCATTGTTTATCCTTCTTGGTAAAGAGCTTATTTGTTCTTGAATCGTGCAAGGGTGCCAATATACACTCACAGGTCAGTTTATTAGGTACACCACCCCGTGTGGGCAGCACTACCGCCTGAATGATGCAGAGTGCACTGGGCAGGGCACCACCAGGTGTTCCATGAGCACTATGATGTGCTATCCCAGGAGCTTTCTCAAAGGATGCGCTTAGATACTCAGAACTATCACTCACACCTTGGATTCATCTCCATTGTCTAAAGTGGCCTCCTCCGCTTGCTTTCATAAGTTGTTTTTTTCCAGATCAGTGCAGATGAAGGAAAGGGCACAACAGAGGAAGCCACTTTAGACTGAGATACATCCCTAGTGCTCATTCTGAAGGGTATCTTTCTGACTGGTTATCACTTAGAGGCTTGTGATTGGAGAAATATGATGGATTATTTTGGTTCCACTCTACAGTTATTTTGGTGGTTTCCACCCCGCCTTATCTTGAGTGGCCACACCCACAGTGCCTGTAAGGTGGTTCATGACAACAAGCACCCAGAGGTCAGCGTTCCATCCTTCAGCTTGAGGAACCGCAACAACCCCAGCTTCATCCTGGTAACTAACTAACTGTTGGGGTCAATACCATTTCAATTTAAGTTTACTACCTGAATTTAAATAAAGTGCTAGAACAGTAGAGAATCAGTACACAACCTCTCTCTCTGCAGGGCACCTTCTCTCCACGGACTTCCAGTTGGCCAGGTGCTTCCTGCCAGAGGAGAGCAGCGTGGTGGCCAACTACTGCGCCACAGCCGTCTCCCTCCTGCTCATGGCCCACCTCCACCTCTCCAAGAGCTTCATGCTCCTAGCCACCAGCCTCATGGGCAAGCACAAGGGCCTGTGACTGTTATAGTGACAGTGTTTCTCCTAGATCAAATATTTCCTCGGCAGGCCACATAAAAAAGGCCCCTGAAGCAGCATTCAGGGTAGCAAATGCCCAAAAGTGTGATTGAAATCAAAGTAACAGTAGGGGACGTCTCATCAGTGTGACCGGTCACCTTTGACCCCCTCACCCTGACCCAGGCCCCATGTTCATCCCTGAGAGACTGTAGGGTTGACACTCCTGACATCCAACCCAACAGCACCTTTTACAGGGCCTTGGTTGCTCTGACAGCTTTTACTGGTCCATTGTAATGGTGTGCACTGATATTCTATCCGTTGTTGTTTCTCTTTATAAATTATTGGCAACTGAATGTGTTTTTTAACAGTGAATGTACCAGTGAATAAGCAATGGCAGAGCCATCTTTGACCTTTAAATGTGACCCGGACGAAAACAGTAGAGGGAAGGTTTCTTGCAACTGTAATTTATGTATATACAAAGTGTACATGTGTCATATTTTCCCGCATATTCAGTTTAGACAAACCAACAAAAAAAAACAAAGGTCTTCTGATGTGCCTCTTTATTAAAATAAAAATACTTTCTGTATTCCTTAAAGGCCTGACACAAAAGTTATCACATCTACCTCCTCGCTCTCAGAATAGACTTGCACATTGAAAGCTTCTGTTCAGTGTAAAGAATAGCCTATCTAACTGTGCTCCCACATTCACAATGCCTGTGCCATTGTGAAGTCTCTGCATGGCCAAAGGATCACTACTTTCTCATCTCGTCTCATTCTATATAAGTTAATGCCTATGCATCTGTATTCATACATACGTTCTAGACATTCATAAATATGTATACGCATAGGCACACACATTACTATGTATAATTGTACATATAGATTTATAGAATATATGTATATCTTTATAAATGTATATGTACATATATATTAATATAAAATGCATATGTACAATGTACATATACAATGCATGAGTACATGTGTGTATATATGTTTTACAGTACATGCATGCTTTGACGCACACATACACACATTTACTGGCACGCGCATGTATACATCTCATACACACTTCATATCTAAAAAGATGCTTCCTACTGTAGTAAAACAACGGCAGGTTGCGATTTGGACACGTCAATGGATCTTCCAATGTATTAAAGCTGAGAATCAGAAATAAAAATATACATTTTCACCGTCAAAAGGAAAGCGGATGAAGGCATGTCTCTGGCTGCGACCTCTGGGGATCACTGCGGTAGGTAAGTGGTTCATTTGCATAATGTATACAGGATTTGTGTGTTTTTTTTACCCCTCGCTAATTTTTCCACCGTTTTCTACTAAAGAACATTTTCCTTTTTTATAAACCAGAAAAACAAACCTCTACAGAGAGAGAGAGAAACTCCCTACCTGCAGTCTCTACTGTCAGATAGAGTTTGACATCAAGCTGTACAGCGCAGTCAAAAACATACATCAGAGCTCAATTTACAGGTACAGCCATTATCAAGGCACAAAGATATTCTACAAGTAGTTTTTTTCTCAATAAAGTTGTACAAAATAACATTACATTTTGAAGTCTGTACAAGATAATCAACCTTGCACAGTGTGCAAGATAATAAACAAAAACATATAGAACTATTGCCCAAGAGGATCTAAGTCAAAAAGGACTATCTGTGGGCAAATCAAAGTGAGTGTGGTATTTCTCTTTAGACACGTGGCAGAACTCTGCTGCTGCCCTACGGCAGGAGGTGCATTGGACTCAAACTCCCAGCATCCTCCTGCTCTCCCACAAGCCCCACCCCCTCTATGCTAATTCATCCACACAAAGGCAGTCTGAAAGCCTCACTCTCCATCATCTTGCAATAAAACAATACAAATAAACAAACCCAAATAAAAAGTGACAGAGTAATAAATATCTCGGTGCTACATCATGTGTATACTTCCTTGACGGCGTTAAGTTACCTGATGAAAGTGCATTACATCTCCTGCCCACCCACCACCCCACTCCTTCATCAAGTACTCAGAGCAGAATAGAGAGAGAGAGCGAGCGAGAGAGAGAGCGAGCGAGCGAGAGAGAAAAGCAGAGTCATCCATGCAAAGGAGTGTCGGAAGGTTGGTGCCAACTCTGGAACCAACACACACAGGAGTTACCTCATTAGATACCTCAACTCTCTCACGCACACACACACGCACAAACGTACACACACACACACACACCCTCTGACAACGTCAGCTGGTCCAGAACCAACCACAACAGAAACGACAGAAGACTAGCTCAAAACAAAAGCTACAAAACAAGATGTCTAAAAAGGCTTAGTGGAATGAGTAGAATAAAGGCATTTGAAATAAAAGACTGAGGCACACACACAACGTCCTTTCCCATCCCCGCTTATACCTACAAAATAAGAGTCAAAATGGGCCATAAATAAAATAACTAAAGAAGGAGATCAAAAATTTAACTAAATAAAACCAACAATAGCAAACAAAATGACAGCATTGTGATGCTTCAGTAGTTCTCCTGGTCCCTGTGGTAAAAGGGCCTTGTGTTTTGGGAGTGGAAACAAACTGCACTGGGATTGGCCCAGAGCTGACTGGATTTTGGGCTGCGACCAATCACAAGAGTTCGTACTGGCGCAGGTGCATCCTCTGGATGATGTCTCGGCAGTCGTTGAAGACACGGCGGATGTTCTCTGTGTCCACGGCGCAGGTGAAGTGGGGGTAGCAGTAGTGCTTTCCGTCACCGCTCGCCGTGCTGATCCTCTGTTGGGAGACATGCACATTTCTGTTAACTTCCTGAATTGACTGAATTGAAATGGAAATTACCCCAAACCTGAAATGGTTAACACTATGACACAAGGGTCTACAGTCAGTACATAGAATGAAAACGGTACGTACAAGGAACTCATCTCGGATGAAAAACTTGGCCCGGGTCACTTTAGGGTCCTCTCCAGGGTCTGGAACGGCTGTTCAGAAAGAGACAAACAGAAGAAATCCAGGTTAATCAGTACAAGGATCCCATATCATTAGGACTGGATGTAGTGCAGTGCCTGATGACGGTAACTGCAATCAAATGTTTATGGAGCATCTCTAACCAGTGCTCTCTGTGCTCCAAACTATTCTGTAATTTCATTTGATGATGGGGAAGAAAGGCATGTTTATGCTATTGTTTACATACTGCAATTGAGTCCCTGGGATATCTATAAGTTAGAAGGTCGTATGAGGTCTAAATAAGGTTTATTCCAGGGCCAGCGCAAATGATTCCATTTGATTCACAAATTTCAAAAGTGTGAGTATCCAAAATGGGTTAAGCTTGGTATACATCTTGAGGATCGGTTTGGAGGTCCTTCACTGTGAAGCAACAACAACAGTTTGGTGCACGCTTCGTTGCTGGAAGAGTGTAATGTGTGTGTCCTAGGTTAGTAAACCGTCACAATTATTATGATCTAGTTTATAATAACTTTTACTTAGAGAAACAGCGTGTTTTCCACACATCTCAGTACCCACCTTCAGCCGGCACTGTATAGCGAGCGTACTCAGGGAAGTAGTCTTCAAGTTTGGATTTCCCTGCTAAGATCTTGTCAGCCAGCATGTCCTGCTTGTTCAAGAACAGGATGACTGAAATGGTCCGTAAAAACCTGAAAATAAAGATTGTAAAGAATGATGTGACTAGACAGGCATTTAAACAATGACACTGCGTCAGAGTTAGTGGAATGTGAACGGGTGGGTTTAAAAATAAAATATCTCTGTCCAACTCTCATGTTTCTGCTTCTGTTTGACCGATTCACACTGATATCACCACCTTGACCGATTAAAACTAAATGGGAAGCACGCTTCAGTCTGTTACCATTATTACTGTCAATCGCTAAAAGTACAACCTCTTACAATAATATTTACTCCAGTGGTCATATTATTCATGTAGTGTTGCAATGTAATCTAAACACATTTTCACCAAGAATGTGCTACAGAAAACAAACAAAGCTGGTTTGAAATGCATTCAGTTTGCAAAAGGATATTGAAAATATCACAACAAAATGGAATGCAAATGGTACATTCGCCTATTACTAAATCTGGTGTGACATTTTCAGTAGGGCATAATTGAGTTGGGAGAGGGCAGAGAGCCTGGCAAGGTGTCCAGGACTAACCTGTTATTCCAGATGCTCTTGAAGAGATCCAGGGATTCCCGGAGTCTGTTGGTGCTGTTGTCTTCCCTTATGACCATGTTATAACTGCTGCTTGCCGCCACAAAGATGATGGCCGTCACGTCTAAAAGAAATAGGAGCACATTAAAATGGGTTGTTTTAGCACGAATGGTGTGTATTGGTGCATTATGGTGTGTATTATGAGGACCAGATGCTGTGACATCGTAAACCATGTAATCTTACAAGAACAATTCCACTAAAATACTATCTTTAGGTATTTGTTTCATTAGTCCACTGTTGATACTGTCCCAAAACGTCATACTGTGACACTTTCTGTATTTTTTGTTACTTGGTAGCTACTAGCTACAGACCCTGTGTTGCAGATAATTTTGGACTGTTCATACTGTAACGTTAACGTTCATCTCAGGCTTCACTAACTAACGTTACTGTTTTAGGTGTATTTATTCTTTGCTACTTTTCAAACAAAGACTAAGTGATATTTCACATAACAAGTTGCTAGATATGCCTTCTGTTTTGTTCATGAGGAGTAATAGCCGAGAGAAGGCAGGAGACACTTTGTTTTGTTTAGCGTCGCTTAGGTTAGACTGCTCCCTTTAATGGATCAGTGGTCCACCAGGCTACACTTTACAATTAGGGCGATGTGGGAGGGGAAGCGTTGGGTGTCTCGGATAGGGAGACAGGGGAATGGGGTTCAGTGTTTTACTGTTAGGATAGATTTATGTTTGTTTGTTTCAACCGATCTTTACATATTTTCCACACTACAAAATACTAATGCGGTCCTTGTGGTTACTAAACATACAGTATCACCCCTGTTAAGCTTCACAAATTTGACCCCAATATCCCAGACCTGTGTGTTAAATGTAACACACATCTAGGCACCTTGTTTCATTGCCCGTGGGAGTGTGTTGCGATACAAACATTTTGGAGCTCAGTGCTGCGGTATATCTCTGAGATTACCTCTACCCTAATACCACTAATCCCTAAACTTTGCATCCTAAATATTTACCCAGAGAATATCTCTTTACATAGGAGAGAGAAGAAAATGGTTGACCTCTGTCTATTACAAGCTAGGCGTTTAATTTCTCTACACTGGAAGTATGTCAGTTCCCCCTCACTTGGTCATTGGTTAAAAGAATTAACATCAAGCCTGGCTCTTGACAAATTAATTTATATAGTGAAAAAGAAAGTCCCAGAGTATCATGATATTTGGGATCTGTTTTTTTCTTTCTGTGCAAACCGGTGATATTGTAGAAGCATTAGAACTGTACATCTGTATATTCAAAAAAAAAAATTATATGAATATTGGCTATAGTTGAAGCGTAATCTGCATTATCTGCGACTGCATGATTAAAAAATATATATATATTATTGGTAATGTGAGGACTTTTTTTCTCTTCTTTTTATCTGTTGTTAATGTTGGGTTGTTGTTGTTGTGGTTATGTTTTTGTCTTTGGGTTGGGGGGGTAGAAAACAAGAATTTTATTTCTGTAACTGTTGATTGTCTTATTTGGAACTAATAAATATAAGTGTAAAAAATTGATAACAAAATAAACTGGACTGATTAAACAAATACCAAAAAATAGTTTTTGAGTGGTATTTTCCTTTAATGAATTCTTCCATTTAAAATGTGGAAGTGGATCCAGATGGTATATGATGCTGAGCTACTGTGACAGTCCCTGTTCCACCTCAAGACGGTGTTAGCCTGCTGAGCTAAAGCCTAGGCATTAGGTCAGGAGCTAACGTGAGTCTTCCAGTTTCAGGTAAGGTTACTCATTAAGCGAGCATGGTTCACTGAACCACCAACATTACACTTGCAAAACAACATTGTGGGCAGCAAAACCGTACACATAATCCAAATTTACCATTGAAGCACTGGATCCATTTTCTCCTCTCGTCTCTCTGGCCACCTACATCAAACATACTGGGAGAGAGGAAGAAACGCTTTAGCAGACTTCTGTATGGTCCAATGTGTGAAGGAGCCTATTTAACTCAAACATGTCTTGATCTCAAATCAAATCTTATTCGTCACATAAGCCAAATACAACAGATGTAGACTTACTGTGAAATGCTTACTTACTACAAGCCCTTAACCAACAATGCAGTTTGAAGAAAATAGAGTTAAGAAAATATTTACTAAATAAACTAAAGTAAAAAAAGTTACAAAATAACAATTACGAGGCTATATACAGGGGGTACCGGTACCGAGTCAATGTGCGGGGACACCGGTTAGTCGAGGTAATTGAGGTAATATGTACATTTAGGTAGGGGTAAAGTGCCTATGCATAGATAATAAACAGCGAGTAGCAGCAGTGTAAATAGTCTGGGTAGCCATTTGATTAATTGTTCTGCAGTCTTATGGCTTGGGGGTCAAAGCTGTTAAGGAGCCTTTTGGACCTAGACTTGGCGCTCCGGTACCGCTTGCCGTGCGGTAGCAGAGAGAACAGTCTATGACTTGGGTGACTGGAGTCTTTAAAAATGTTTTGGGCCTTCCTCTGACACCGACTAGTATAGAGGTCTTGGATGGCAGGAAGCTTGGCCCCAGTGACGCACTCGGTCGTACGCACTACCCTCTGTAGCGCCTTACGGTTGGATGCCGAGCAGTTGCCATACCAGGCGGTGATGCAACCGGTCAGGATGCGCTCGATTGTGCAGCTGTAGAACCTTTTGAGGATCTGGGGACCCATACCAAATATTTTCAGTCTCCTGAGGGGGAATAGGAGTTGTCGTGCATATAAACATATACAGTGCATTCGGAAAGTATTCAGACCCCTTGACTTTTTCCACATTTTGTTACGTTACAGCCTTATTCTAAAATGGATGAAATTGTTTTTTCCCCTCATCAATCTACACACAATACCCCATAATGACAAAGCAAAAAGAGGGTTTTAGAAAAACGGAAATATGACATTTACATAAGTATTCAGACCCTTTACTCAGTACTTTGTTGAAGCACCTTTAGCAGCGATTACAGCCTTGAGTCTTCTTGGTTATGACGCTACAAGCTTGGCACACCTGTATTTGGGGAGTTTCTCCCATTCTTCTCTGCAGATACTCTCAAGCTCTGTCAGGTTGGATAGGGAGCGTCACTGCACAGCTATTTTCAGGTCTCTCCAGAGATGTTCGATCGGGTTCAAGTCCGGGCTCTGGCTGGGCCACTCAAGGACATTCAGAGACTTGTCCCGAAGCCACTCCTGCGATGTCTTGGCTGTGTGCTTAGGGTCGTTGTCCTGTTGGAAGTTGAACCTTTACCCTAGTCGGAGGTCCTGAGCGCTCTGGAGCAGATTTTCATCAAGGATCTCTCTGTACTTTTCTCCGTTCATCTTTCCCTCGATCCTGACTAGTCTCCCAGTCCCTGCCGCTGAAAAACATCCCCACAACATGATGCTGCCACCACCATGCTTCACGTTGGGATGGTGCCAGGTTTCCTCCAGACGTGATGCTTGGCATTCAGGCCAAAGTGTTCAATATTGGTTTCATCAGACCAGAAAATCTTGTTTCTCATGGTCTGAGAGTCCTTTAGGTCCAAGCGGGCTGTCGTGCCTTTTACTGAGGAGTGGCTTCCGTTTGGTCACTACCATAAAGGCCTAATTGGTGTAGTGCTGCAGAGATGGTTGTCCTTCTGGAAGGTTCTCCCATCCCCACAGAGGAACTCTAGAGCTCTGTCAGAGTGATCATCGGGTTCTTGGTCACCTCCCTGACCAAGGCCCTTCTTAGCCGATTGCTCAGTTTGGCCGGGCGGCCAGCTCTAGGATGAGTCTAGCTGGTTCCAAACTTCTTCCATTTAAGAATGATGGAGGCCACTGTGTTCTTGGGGACCTTCAATGCCGCATAAATTTTTTGATACCCTTCCCCAGATCTGTTCCTCGACACAATCCTGTCGTCTCGGAGCTCTACGGACAATTCCTTCGACCTCATGGCTTGGTTTTTGCTCTGACATGAACTGTCAACTGTGGGACCTTATATAGACAGGTGTGTGCCGTTCCAAATCATGTCCAATCAATTGTAGAAACATCACAAGGATGATCAATAGAAACAGGATGCACCTGAGATCAATTTTGAGTCTCATAGTAAAGGGTCTGAATATGTATGTAAATAAGGTATTTATGTTTTGTCATTATGGGGTATTGTGTGTAGATTGTTATTTATTTAATACATTTTTGAATAAGGCTGTAAGGTACCAAAATGTAGAAAAAGTCAAGGGGTCTGAATACTTTCCGAATGCACTGTAGGTGTCTTATAGAATGGGGATTTGTCAATAAAGACCTTGCGATACAGTCGATTGGACTAGTTTTCTGCATGGAGTGATGATGATAGGAACAGAGCTCTTGTGGGTAAAGTTAACCACTACACTAAACCACTTGGCAGTATGTTGAGTTCCCGTGTTGTGGTGTTTTAGAGCAGATACTGCTTTCCTATTTAGTGTGCATACTAGACAAAATTGTCATTTCCCAATGGCATCCAAATAAAAACCTAACACAAACAGAAGCAACAAGGCTTTATGTTTTGCATGACATCCAGTTAAACTGAAATGAAAAATGACCCTGTGACCACAAGGTGGGGACATTTCCATTATAATATGAAACCACAATGGCCATGTACAGTACAAAGTTCATACAGTTAATACAACAGACAACGATGGGTACCATTACATCAGAATAAAGGAAATGGGAAACTTACTGAAAGTTCACTTTGTCAACTTGAAATCTTGTTTCGAATATCCCTGAAGTCAAAACTCGGCAGCGAAGCAAGTCCTGGGGTTCAGAACAAGAGGAGAACAGAGATGAAGAGATGCACAAAAGGAATGAGTAGAAAAGAGAGGTAGAGGTAGAGAGAGAGGTAGAGAGAGAGGTAGAGAGAGAGAGAGAGAGGTAGAGAGAGAGAGAGAGAGAGAGAGAGAGAGAGAGAGAGAGAGAGAGAGAGAGAGAGAGAGAGAGACTAAAAGTGTATGATGTTTTACTACACAGTGCTTATTGATTAAGCAATACAGCTACAGCTATGGTTGGTAACATTTGACATGTCATTTTATTACTACATTTTTAGCCATGCTTTAGATCGTTAAAAAGTCATCTTACCTGATCTGTTGGTGTGTAGTCATTCGACCTCACCGACTCAATTCTGTCCAAGAAGCTGCAAAACACAAAACAAAACACATCATTATACGACACTGCCCTGGATCTTAAGAACATTAAATATCACAGTCATTACAGTAGATATAGCTTAAGATCTGACTCTACAAACTAAGGAAAGGCACTAATGTGTCTGTTGCCAGTGTGCTTTTAAACCACTCCCATATCACATGCACAACTACGTACGCATTCACGCACACACACACACACCAACAACACCCAAGTGTGTTCCTGGCTAGATGCAGCATATGGCTGGATATGGCGGCTGGTTTTGGAGCTGGGGCTCTGAGACAGTCAGTGGTTAGGGACAGGAGAAGAGGGAGGGACAGGGTACATGTGTGATATGCCAACTCTGGAGAAATGCACAGTACAACAAAGCAACATTTCTTTCTATCAAACAGACAATGGATCAGAAGGCTAGCATAGAACAATCATATACAGAATATCTCATCTCAATACATAGAGCAGAGATATATTGTAAGATATAGAATGGGGTCCGTTCTATTCACTGCATTTCTATGTGTTTCACCTCACTATGACGACGGACTATAATACTACTGCAGGGCTGATCCCAGCACTGTACCATCCGTCCCCAGTAGAGGGCAGCAGAGCGCGTCCCCCGCCTATTTATGTCCCCCTTTTCCTGTCCCATTACATAAGACTGCAATTAGTTCCTGCCAGAGCTAGACGAGAGCCTCTCGCTCTGGTGTGCACGAGCTGCATGTTCCCTGGGTGTGTGTGTGTGTGTGTCCCTGCGGTAGAAGAGACGGGGGTAAAGACACACACAGACACACACACACGCATTGCAGCCTGAAACCGCTGAACAGCATGGTGATATCACCAGCACTGTCACTGGTATAAACCAGCAGATACCACACTAAAAATCTCAATTCTGTTCTGTTCTATTCTGTTCTGTTCTATTCTAGGAAGCAACCACCATTAAGGGCAGTTCTGTACAGGTTTATTTGACGTTGTGTTTTACCTAAGAATTCAGTTCTAGGAACTGACTGATATGATATGTGTGTGATGACAATGATCACACTATGAGCCTTAGGGAAGTCCAACTGACTCAGTCCTCATCTCTAAGTACCTAGAAAAGGGCCAACCAGGTCTATTTAACCAGTCACTGTTCACAGACACCGTTGGATCCACTAAAACCTTCATTTTACAGTAAAGAAATAACCAGGTAGACCCCCCCCCCCCATCAACACTCAGCTATTAAATGCAAGGATGACCTGTTAATCCACAAACAGACCAACGCTGCCCTGCTTTTTAAACTCATAGACTTGTCCATAGCCTACATCTACTGGACTGATGCTATTAATTGGTTGAATGGAAAGATGGGATCAATAGTTTCCACATTTTGAGTGGTTGGTGTGGAAATCTGGTCAGTCACCAAAACAACAACACAACTCACAGGGAATGGCGTTATCAGAAGAACCTGACAGTTTCAAATAACAAGGAGAGAAATAAATTTAAAAAATCATAAGATCCGGACAGCCTATACTGTAGTCTTTTCTACTTCTAATAATAAATGGAAGAAAATGGCAGCATTTTAAACCACAAGTTATGGTATAAAGGTAAATATGTAAGCTTGATGGAGTATGAACCCATTTCACACTAGGATGCTGTATGTTACATTTTAATATTTCTTGTCATTTAGCAGACGCTCTTATCCAGAGCGACTTACAGTTCATACATTTTCATACTTTTTTCGTACTGGTCCCCCGTGGGAATCGAACCCACAACCCTGGCGTTGCAAGCGCCACACTCTACCAACTGAGCCACACATGCATTCATAAAGACAGAAACATGCGCGCACACACACAGGATCTCAGTTACACACCAGAGCAGTGCACTAAAATAGCTCTGTCTGGTTCTAGTGTTACATGTTTGAATTGCTGCTGGGTGTTTATGTGTGTGAGTCTGGCCTGCTCATCTCTGGCTCTGCCAAAAAACGGCAGGAATTTACACAACTCCTATATTCCTGGTAGCAGCAGTCGTTTAACATTACGAATTCTATCTCTATCCAGATCTGAAATGAAACCCTATTCCCTATATAGTGTACTACTTTTCACCAAAGCCCAGCTCTGATCCAAATTAATGCTATAGTCTGAAATTATATACAATATTTCTCATTTAGTGTGCACTACTTTTGACCTATGTGGGCTCTGGTCAAAAGTAGTACGCTATATAGGGAATAGGTTGGCATTGATGTCTAGGGGGAAATGAGGGAAGAACATGAAGATTTAGTTGACTAGATTTATGTTAGGAGGATTCTTAGTGCTACTAAAGCCTGTGATAGGAGCTCTCGTTCTCCCTGGCAACGGAGAGAGTTTATACGAGGAAAGATGGGGCCATTTTGCATCCTAACAGATCGCACACAGACAAACACACAGACAGAGACACACACACACACCCAGCTGCAGGGGAGCTGGGGCTAAAAATATCCCTGGGAATGGATCCGCTCCGAAAAAGACAGATTATACAAGCCCCGAGCGGGCATATAAAAACACACACACACAAGCACGCACACACACACACACACACACAAGAGCTGGGACAATAAACCGAAAATGATAAACACGGACCATCACTTATCGCAGACATTTAGCTGATATTGTTAATTACGATAAGTAGCCTATGTTAGGGAAATTAAATGAAATAAGTTTTCTAAAATATGGGTATTGTTAATGGGACAATTGATGGCTACAACCATCAAACTAGTAGTAGTAGCTGATCTTTCTACCATGGAAAGGTAAATACCTGTCGTCTATTTGTGGAAAAATCACCCTGATTAACTCTTTAGTCATATCCCAGTTGACCTATTTACTTATGGCCATACCTACACCGAATGACTTGTTAAAAAAATTATATGAGCAAAAAATATTCCACTTTATTTGGAATGACAAACCTGACAAAATTAAACTGGCCTATTTATATAATGTATATGAATTCAGAGGGCTAAAATGATTAAATATTAAAGCATTGAACCTCTCACTAAAGGCTTCAGTCATACAAAAGTTATACTTTAATCCCAACTGGTTCTCCAGCAGATTAGGAAGAATGGCTCATCCAGTGTTCAAAAATAGCCTCTTTCTCTCACTTTCGGTTATTTGACAATTAAATAATCTCCAAAATATTGCTATTTTAAAAACAAGCCATAGAAAGCTGGTTGCAATTTCAGTTTAATCCACCAGAAAAGACAAAGCAAATATTACAAAAATATTATGGTTAAACTCAAATATACTAATTGATAAAAATACTGTATAATGTTTTTGTTTTTAGTCATTTAGCAGACGCTCATATCCAGAGTGCATACATTTTCATACTGGCCCCCTGTGGGAAACGAACCCACAACCCTGGCGTTGCAAGCGCCATGCTCTACCAACTTTGTTAATGATATCATAAATAGGACTGGTGGAGTTGTGTCACATATGCAGCTAAAAATGGAGGAGGAAAGTGGAAGGGGGAGAAGCTAAGGAACTTGTCTGTCAGCCCTGCCTTAAAGACTGAAATGTGTATTTTTTTTGTGATAAATACAAAATTATACCAGTTCCATTTAAAGACCAGAAAAATGACAGATACGTCATACAGGTTGCAAAATAGTTCGGAAGAGATTTGTGATGTGCCGATTCCATGGTACATGGTTTATGAACTAATACACAAAACAACGGCAGATTCAAAACTTTGAATTTTTCAATTTAAATTATTATACACAATTATTGCAACCAATATAATGTTATGTATATGGGGGATACAACTATCCCAGGTCTGCAGATTTTGCTGCGAAGAGACAGAATCCATAGATCACTTGTTTTGGTACTGCCCATATGTAGCTTGTTTTTGGTTGCGGGTTCAGGAATGGCTGAAAAATCACAACATTTATCTAAAGCTAACTCTGCAAATAGCACTGCTGGGTGACTTGAAAAGCCATAGTCATTTGATCAATAATATAATAATACTCTTAGTAAAAATGGTCATCTTTAATTTACAATCTGTAGAAACTATGAGAATAGAAAGGTTCATAACTTTTGTGAAATATCAAAGCACAGTTGAAAAAGATATGGCAAGTAGAAATCTAAACTGGATGGTTTTCAGAGATAGATGTGAGGGGTTGAGGGTAGCTGAAGGATGGGACAAACAAATAGATAACTAGTGTAATATGTACTGTGTCCATAAAATGTATATAGTATGTATAAGCTGGAAGTAGAAGCCTAAGTATTGTTGTCCATTATTTTACTTCAATTAGGGGACGGGTGGTAGGGTTAGGGGAAAATAATAAAGAAGGAAAATATATTTTTACAAAATAAGAAAAAAATATATATGGGGGATTGGAAATGATGCAGACAATTACATTGATAGAACCCACAATCTATCTGCAATATTAAAGCTGACTACCCTCTAAAAAAAATGTTATAAAATAAAAAGTAGTAGTAATAGTTTAAAGGATAATTTACAAAAAAACTGTGGTGCACTGCACATTAATGTTATAAACGTATTATTCTATTTAGGGAAGGACAGCGCAGCACATACACTGGGCAGGCCCCACCAGTTTGACACACACATACACAAAAACAACTAGATTTATGGACATGCTTTTGAGGAACTGCTCATGGAGAGAGAGAGAGAGGAGAGAGAAAGATGAGACGGAGATATGAGAGAGAGCAGATAGAGATAGAGGAGAGAGAGAGAGAGAGAGATAGAGAGATAGAGATATACGGCGAGAGAGAGAGAGAGAGAGCGAGATAGAGAGAGAGAGCATGAGAGAGAGAGATAGAGAGAGCTAATAGAGAGGCGAGAGAGAGAGAGATAGAGAGAGAGAGAGGTCCGTATCTCTACAGCTGGTCCAATCACTAACTTCCATAAATAAAACATGGACGGAAATAGAAGCTGAGGAGCCTCGTTTAGGACTTTTGTTTACATCCGCAAAATTAACAGGCAGTGCCAGCTTCTTGACGGCGAGGCTCTGTTTGTGTTATTCCTCTAGCGGCCTCTGT